GACTGGCGGGCTGCGCGGACCGCGCGGCCGGGGTCGGGACCCAAGGGTCCGGCCGGCGCTGGGAGCCGCGGACGGCGGACGGGTGCGAAGCGGGGGGTGCGGTGACCATCGTAAGACCGTCCTCCGCGGCGTGGAGAGGGGCTGTCGGGGCGGCGGGGTGGGAGCGGAAGAAAAGGCTGCGCGCCGAGGGCTGGGGTCCGAAGGCCTCGTCGGACGAGGAGGGGGCGAGGGTGGGACAGCTCTGGGCCAGGGCGTCGTGCACTGCTCCTGCCCAGGGCGGGCGGCGGGCGAGGAGCCCCAGGTCCCGCGGTGCCTGCTGATTGAATGCGGTCCCTGTGTTTGGAAGATGGAGTTTGCTCCGCAGACAGGGAATTTCCAGAAACCTGCACGTTCTGCTATGGTGGGGGGTGGCGGGTGGCGCTGCCCACGCTGAGAGGTCCTGCCCTCTGGGTCCCAGGCCTCCGTCCCCGCGCTGCCTGGCCCGCCATGGCCCAGCAGAGAGCCCTGCCCCAGAGCAAGGAGACGCTGCTGCAGTCGTACAACAAGCGGCTCAAGGACGACGTCAAGTCCATCATGGACAATTTCACTGAGATCATCAAGACCGCCAAGGTGGGTGGGGCCCGGCCCAGCTCCTCCGACCACGGGAGGGAGGGAGGGAGGGAGGATCTCAAGGGGGTGGAGAAGAGAGAGCCCAGTGCGGGGTCCACCCTGGTAAATAGGGGCCCAGGTAGGGGGTCTGCTTCCCACACACCGGCAGTGCCTGGAGTGTCTCCACGCTCTGCTGGGGGTGGCATGCCTCCGGGAACAGGACAGGCAAGGTCCTTGTCCCATTTGGAAAGCCTTTGGGGCTGGCGATGGCAGGGTTATTGACAGAAACAGGCCAGCAGAGCCCGGTAATTGCAAGTCCGGGTAAAGCACCGTCGGAGACTCTGGCCAGACTGCCTCGGCTCCACGTCCAGCTTGCTGGCAGTGCTGGTTTGGGTGGGGACCAGTGCCTCGGTTTCCCCCATGCCGTGATGTCCTTGTGATTATCAATGAGTTTGCGAGCCAGTTACCAAGGGTTCTGTAGCTACTGGGTGTGTGTGTGCAGGAGAGAGGCAGGCTGAGGGGAGAAGCTGGGGAGGCCCCTGCAGGCAGGTGGAGTGGTCGGGGCCAGGGCTGGGCAGGCCCGCTGACCGCTGCAGCCGCACCACATGGGGCTGGATCTCACAGCCGCTGCAGACTCGTTGACCAGTGACGATGACAACGGGAGCCTTTATGTGGTGCTCACTGTGCCAGGCCACACTGGGAGGCCTACCTGTGCCCTGTCCCACCGGGTCTCCAAGAGAATGCCACAAGGCAGGTGCCACTCGTGCCTCTCCACGTTCAAGGAGGAGACGAACTTGCCCAGTGTCACTTGCCTAATAACTGGCAGAACGAGGGTTCGAAAGCAGGCAGTCTGACGCCCGCCCCAGCCCATTCCCTCGCAGGGCCCCATCGGGAAGCCCTGTCCAGGTTGATGGCCACTCTGGCTGGACCCTGGCTCCTTCACCAACCGCCGGGGACACCTCAACCCCACTGTCTGCTTTGCCCAAGTGTGCCCACCTGGAAGAGAGGAGTGGCAGTCCAGGCTTTGTCAGCATTTCATAAACTAACAAGGGTCAGGTGCTTTACCATGGTGCCTGGCACCCAGGAAGCAGTCCAGAAATGGTTGCTAAAAAATATACATCATCCCTTTATTCATCCATTGAACAGTTTACCAAGTACCAGAGCGAATGACATGTGTCCCTACCAAATAGGGCTTCCCCATCCCAAAAAGACTGGGCCAAGAGAAGACCCTATCCCTGCACCTGGCACGGCAGTCGGCATAGGTAGGTGCTGTCCTGACAGAAGTGCCCGTCGCTCCCTTAGAACAGACCCAGAGAGGGTGGGATTGAACCTGCCCGGGGGCCTGACCACCAGAGCACGGCGTCTGTAGAAAGCATGATAGACTGGATGTGGCGAGTTGAGCAGGGTGGGGACGCCCTGACCCGCTTTCTTGTTTGCCCCTCAGATTGAGGACGAGACGCAGGTGTCGCGGGCCACTCAGGGTGAACAGGACAATTATGAGATGCATGTTCGAGCCGCCAACATCGTGAGTCCCCAGGGCAGAGGGCACAGGCTGGGCTCCAGGAGCATCGGGTCCCCACTGAGGTTTCCTGGGTGGAGTGTGGGTCGCTCTGACACTGGTGTGCCGTCCTTCCCCTCTGGGCAGGTGGCAGAAGAGACATACAGAGATGCTGTGTTTTCGCTCCCTGGCAGCTTTTAAGAAGGGCGTAGGTGGCAAATCACCTCTCAGGAGACTGTTCTCAGGAGGGGCACTTGGAGGGAGGCTGGGCAGATGGCTGCTGCGTCCCCCCGGGGCTGGGCAGTGTTTAGGACAAGGGCGGCCCTTCCTGCTGACTTGGAACTTCCCTAAGGCTCCTTGTGAGTGAAAAGGCAAATGACAGAATGAAAACACACGTGCAGTTTAATTGCTGTGATGTCACTGGACAGACACAGCAGGCGTTTCCTCGAGCACGTGTTTGGGTGAAACACACAGGAAAAGGTCACAAAGGAATCCTGCCCCACTGGCAGCTGTGCTGGTCCTGGGAGAGAGCCGGGTCTGGAGGCCGAATGGGATTGTAGCATTCCCCGTGGGGTTTGAGTTTGTAATGAGCGCAATGTGTGCTCGCGTGGCTGACTGGGGACCAGTCCTCCAGGAGCGGGAAGGGAGGCTGAGGCGAGGGAGGGCGAGGGAAGCAGGCTAGGCTCACCTGCTGGTTGGGGCAGGTGTGGGGGCTTCTGCCTCCTGGAACTTGGGTGACCCTGCGAAGGTCGCACCGCAGACCCACTGCGCAGGTGAGGAAGCCCAGGCTCTCGGAGGCCATTGCTTGCCCCCTCACCCCGTGCCTGCCCTGGGTTGTGATGGCTGCAGGTCCGAGCTGGGGAGTCCCTGATGAAGCTGGTGTCTGACCTCAAGCAGTTCCTGATCCTCAATGACTTCCCGTCAGTGAACGAGGCCATCGAGCAACGCAGCCAGCAGCTGCGCGCGCTGCAGGAGGAGTGCGACCGGAAGCTCACTGCCCTGCGAGATGAGGTGTCCATCGACCTCTATGAGCTCGAGGAGGAGTATTACTCGTCCAGGTACAAATAGGGCCAGACCCCTGCACCGAGCAGAGGCCTACCCACCTGGGCCCGGCCCTGAGGGGCCTCCTGCTTTACCAAGCCCTCGCCGGCGTCGCGGTGGAGCTGGCGCGGGTGCAGAGCAGAGCTGGCCAGAGCGCTGACGGACAGACAGCTCGCAGCCGTCCGCGGCCCGGGCCTTTCCCACAGAGCAGCGTGATGGAACTACAGGACTTTTGCCACTTGGGGCAGCCCAGTCTGGAGGAGGGGGGCTCCTGCCGGGCAGCGTCCCTCCTCGAGCAGTGCTTTCTGGGCCTTGCCGCTCCTCTTAGCCCACAAGGCAGTACTCAGATGTTTGAGCCAAGGCTGGCCGGCCCCTCTCAGGCACCAGTGCTCGCCCAGGGATTCAGTTTCATGTGGATGTCACCAAACCCACAGTGTGGAGGTGGGGATGGTCCTGGGAGGCAGGAGGGAGAAGCCCAAGCAGAGCATGGCCTTGAAGCCCGGCCTTGACCACATGGCTCTCCAGGTTCCGGCCAGCTCAGCCTGTTCAGAGCTGGAGCTCTCCTGCATGCCAGGCCCGTGCTGGCCCCAGGGACACAGCAAGGGCAGGACCTGTCACCCTAGCCTTTGTGGGGCCACGTGAAAGCCTGGAACCATTTGAGTAGGAGGAGCCCTGACAAATCAGAGTCTCACTGTATTTACATAGGTGGAAACTGAGGCTGGAGACAGGCGTCGCGCCTGTGCCCATGAACTTAGGCAATGAAGATTCCGTCCAGTAGACAGAATCCACGCCCACCCTGCGCCCTGCCCCGACAGGCCCCTCTCCTCCCTGGGGGTGGGTTGGAAACGCTCCTGGCTGCCCCACGGCCATGCCGGCAGCCCCTGGTGTCTAGAGCCAGCGTGATTTGGGGCTTGGTTTTCCAGGCCTGGACACAGTGTCACTGCCCAGCTAGAGCAGTTCTAGAGTTTTCTAGAGGCTTCTGGGGCCATTTTTGGTCATCAGCAGCATTTCCTACTAAGCAGGGTGGCAGAGAGGGATCCTGGGGTGTTGGAGACCCTTCTAGGGATGTGACTCACAACCCAGCTTGATTTTGCCCCTGGACCAGCAGCTGTGGGGTGATGCGCTGGGGAGGAAACCTGTCCACGGCCATGCCTCAGAGCTGGGCAGGGACCCAGGGCACCTACGCCCCAGGCTTTCCCGTCCTCCCTCAGTTAGCCTCCTGCTTCACCCAGAGGGGCTCTAGGCCAGCTGTGCGCCCTCCCGCAGGCATCTCGTCCACTCCAGCCACCCCTGGATGCCTCAGGAAAGAGGCCAGCCCCGCCCCTTCACACGGCTCCCAGCTCTGCCCCAAATGTGGGCTGCCTCCTGCCCTCTGTGCCCCGCTCCGCTCCAGCCGCCCTGCGCTCGCTCGCCACTCTGTGCTCACTCGGGCTCTTTCTGGCTCTGCCTCTCCCCCTCCACTCTCCTCGGGGTGCCAGCCAGCTGGTTCTGAGACTGGACACAAGGGAGGGAGCCAGGGCTGCCACCTTAGACACTATGGGAAGGGCTACTGAGTCACAGCCATGCTGGCGGGAGTGTGCTTTGCTTTCCTGAGCTGTCACCTGCACCCCTGCCTGCGTTGGAGGTTGGGAACACCTGTTGGGGGCTGACTGGCTGGTGTGGGGATGCAAGGGCAGTACAGGAAGGTGCCAGGGTCTGTGTTCCTAACTGTCCCCGTTTGAGCCGAGTCTGAGGCAAGAATTGACCCAGAAATAAAACAGGTCTCTGCTCTCAGGAAGCTCCTTGCAAAGTGTGGTGACCCTGGAGGCCAGCGAACTCTGGCTGGTCCTCGGCTGGTCCGCAGCTGGGGAGGGGAGGGTGGCCAGGCCCATGGGGAAGCAGGGCAGGAAGGGCACTGCCTGTGGCTGCTGGGCCAGGCTGGTTTCCTCCTTCAGGGAGCGATGGTGGCCCCTGTGGCCCCCTCCCTCAGCCAGGCCGAGTGGAGGAGGGGAAGGCAGGTCTGGGGTGTGGTCCACGGTTTCTTAACTCTGCTTCTGTCTTGCTCCCTGCCCTGGCTTTCCTCTCTGCCTGCTCCTGTCTCTCCCTGGGGTTTCTGGTGGTGGAAAAGCTCGAGCCTTTGCGAAGCTAATGACCTGCCTCTGTGCGAAGCTTACTGGAGGCTGGATCTCGACACAGACTCCACTGATGGCCTCTCTGTCCCTCTGCTGGAGTCCCTGGAGCCCAGTGCTGGCCCCCTGCAGGCTGCGGCCCCTGCCCACTCCCACGCCAGTGGCCCTGGGCCCACGGAGCACGCCTAAGCCTTGGGGCTGCCCTCCCCGCCCCTGGCTACTCAGGAACCAAACCAGGGCTCCCTCTGAGTGCCCGCATGGCCTCACTTCTTCCAGCCCCAGTTCTCCCTGGGGGACTTCAGGATCCCGGAGCCACTGTGGCCTCCTTGGGAACCTCATCAGCCTAGGGTCATCCCAGCCAGGATAGTTGAGAAAAGCTGTTTTTCTGGCCACTTCCAGCTGCCCATCCTTCTAGTCATCTTCCTCCACTGCCTTCCTGGCCAGCCAGGTGGAAGACGGTTTCCAGGACAGGTGTCTGACGTGGGGAAGACCTGACCTGAGCATGTAGTCTGAAATTGGGAGGGGCTCCGAGTGGATAGTGTTAGCCAAGCCCAGTCTCCCATCCTTTGGGCAGAGCTCCTGGGCAGAGTCCCACCCACTGCCTCTTGCCCTGAGCTGCAAACATCCATACCACGGGCTGACTGCCCTGGTAGGGCCGAGTCGGGGGGCTGCGCACACTCTTGCGGAAGCCAGGTGGGGCTCCTTCCTAAACTCTGCTGACATTCACGTTCTGGCTAGCTTTGTAATGAGACTTCTGAATAAAAAACCTTTTGCATTCAGTCCTCTTTCTGCCTCATTCCTTATCAGTGCAGGACCACACATGATCTCCCAGTGGTTTTATTTCCCCCCAGTGGTTTTAAGAGCCGTAGCCCTTCAGCTATGCCGAGAAGGCCTGGGCCCGGTCAGCCCTCTCCCCACTGGCACCCAGGAATGAATGAGAAGCTGCTGCCATCACTGCATGATATGGGGTCCCGGTGCCTGTACCTCTGACGGAGTCTGGTCCTCCAGCACCCCAAGTCAGTGCTGTTAGTACCTGCCTTTCAGAGAGAGGACACGTGCTTGGAAGGAGTGAGGTGCTACGCCATGGCCACAGAGCTGGGAAGTGAAGTGGCAGAAACCAGGACTTGATCCCTGATGGAACTCTAGTCCCAGTGCCTTTTGGTGCCAACACAGGAGCCACAGCGCTGAGCAGGAAGAGGGTGTCACATGCCTGTAGAATTGGGACTTTAACCCTGCCCCTAACTGCCATCAACCTGTTTCATCTCCTTCCCATGTGGGAAACTATCACCCCAATGTATAGACAAGGTGACAGCCCAGGATCCAGCCTTGGAGACGGAAGAACTCGAGCTGACCCATCACCATGGGGCCCAGAGAGTCCCCAGTCAAGCAGAAGGTACCAGACAGGCCTGGGGCCCAGTCCTGGCTCTGGTTTCTGGGGTGGCCTGGGGAAGTTGCTTCCCCTCCAAAGGAGAGTTTCTGCATTGAGAAGATGAATGATGATCTCTTCCTGTACTTTTTTTTTTTTTTTTTTGGCAACAGGGTCTTCCTCTGTCACCCAGGCTGAAGTGCAGTGGGGTCAGTTTACTGCAGCCTCAAAGTGATCCTCCTGCCTCAGCCTCATGAGTCTCTGGGACTACTGGTGCAGCCACCACCATGCCCAGCTAATTTTTGTAATTTTTGTAGAGATAGGGTCTCACTATGTTGCCCAGGCTGGTCTGGAACTCCTGGGCTCGAGCATGTATCACCTTTTCATCCCAAGCCTTTTATTTTGAGAGCGTTCACACAGGAAGGTTATAAAAGGAGCATAAAGAACGCCCACACAGACCCTGAGGGACTCCCTTTCGCACCTTTGCTTGCTGTCTCCTACAGGACCATCTGAACCTCCATTGCAAACCTTGTGACACCTCACCCCTAAGTACTCACCAACTTTCCTCTCTAAGCAACACTGGTTTCATGGCCTTGATACCATCATCAACCAAAACGGGCGGCTCCGTACCATGTAGTACCCACAGTCTTCGGATTGCCTCAGTTGTTCCACCAAAATGTCTTTTACACATATTTTATTTTGCGTCGCACTTGGTGGTTATTTCGTATAGTCTTTTTAAATCTAAAACAGGACCAGAGTGGTGGTGAGACGGGAGTAGGTCAAGTCGGATTCTGGATCAAGTTAGAAGGTAGAACCGGCCGGATTTGCCGAACGGATGGATGTGGGAATCCAAAAAGAGTCAGGGTTGCTGCGAGGTTCTGGCCCAAGCACCTGAAAGGAAGGTGCTACTCTGAGATGAGGAAGACAGTGGAAGGACACGGGTGGAGGAGGGCAGGTCCCTATTCTGTACCTAGTAGGTGACAGTATTAAGATACCCGAATGGGAGGCTGCAGTTCGGGGGAGTCATCGGAGCAGTCAAGCCCATCCTCTGCATAAAACATCACCTCACGGCAGATTTAGGGGAAGAAAAGTTCTTGTTTACGGTGTACCTTAGCAGCAGCCCTTTCAAAGAGCCTCCTGAAGTTGTAGTCTAAGACCCCAAGTCCTCCCTCCCAGGTGAGTACACGAGGCACCTCCCTCTTCCCATCGCCCGGCAGCCCTGCGAAAAAGCTTGCGAAAAAGCTACTAATTTTCCTGCGTAGGAACTGGGGCGTAGTGGGTTCCTTTCTCCCGCCCCGGTGGGTTCTTGTAAAGGACAAGTCTTGTGTTAAAAATCTTACTCTGTTATTCTGCTTTTCAGAGCAAGTCAACGCCCCAGTGGGTCTTCCCTGAACACCCGCCGCCTCCCTCCCGGGGACCTCCTCTGTCCCATCTCCGGCGTCCTTCTTAGCCCGCACCCCGCCGGACACCGGTCCCGCCCAGACAAAGCCTTGACGAGGACTCAGCGCTCGCCCCCGCCTCGCCCCGCAACCGCGCCCGCCGGAGACCCCACTGCTGTCCTGCTGCTTCCCCCATCCGCTCAGCCCGACCCATCGAGCGCCTCCTGTGTAAGGGCGCCGTGCCGGGGTGGGGGCGAGGGTAGCGCAGGGACCCAATCGGCCGGGGTTGCGGGGGTCACAGAGGTCAGGACTTGGCCCCCAATAGCTCCCCGTCCCGGCCCACAATGCCTTGCGTCCTACCCGGCGCCTCTTCCGGTTGGGCCAGGCCTGGCTAATGGAGCCCGTGGGCTGGAGGCTCGGCGCTCGTCTGGCGGCGCCTGAGCACGTGGTGGTTTCCGGTTGTCCGGGCCGCGCGGGTGGTGCTGGGTGGTGAGACGCACGCGGCCCGGCAGCCGGGCCGTAGCCATGGCCTCCCTGCTCGCCAAGGACGCCTACCTGCAAAGCCTGGCCAGGAGGATCTGCTCCCAGCCCGGCCCCGAGCCGCCAGGGCGCAAGCGGGGTATGCGCGGGCCGGGGAAGTGCTAGAGGGTGCTAGAGGGAAGGGGAGGACGCGTTCCCGGCGACCGCGCCCCCTCCTGTTAGAGGAGTCGCCGAAACGGCCACCCTGGCTCCGCGGGTCCCGGCACCTGCCGGCGGGCGGGGAGCGGGCGAGCCCTGTAAGAGAGGCTCTCCGCTGCTGGGCGTCCTGAGCTGCCTCACCACCCGCGCCGGTGGGCGGCGGTTAGAGTGACGGCCGGTCAGCGGGAAGTACCCTTTCGGCCTGGGGGGGTGTGGGGAGAAGGAAGACGAGGGCCCCGCAGATAGGGTCCGCGCGGCCCGGGCGCCCAGGCTGCGCACGGGAAGTGCACACCCAGCAGGGCAGCAACCGGAGCGGGACTGTCAGTGCTGCCTGGGCCCTGGAGGAGGGAGCGCTGCAGGATTTCGCATGGAACTACCAGAGCCAAACAGGTTTTCCATTTTATACGAGGAACGTATATTCGTTATAGAAAATCCGAAAACTTAGAGGTTTTCTTATCACCCAGCCATAACTTGCTTCCGTTTTTTTTTAACATTTTTTATGTGTATATTTCACTAAAGACAATTCGATTTCTACTCCACGTGCTCATTTCTTCCATTTAAAATGTAAACGTTTTACGCACCCATTAAGATGAAAGTTTGTGTCATTATTTTTGACAGCTGCGTGGCAGTTCTTTGTGTAGCAGTGCCACAGGTTGTTGCTGGAGGTGGATATTTAGGTTTTCCTAGTTTTTCACTCAAATAACGTGACGAACATCCTTGATGCCGAATCTCTGTGCACAGTGAATTCCAGCAGAACCGCTGGGTCAAGGGTGTGATTTCTAGGTTTCGGTATGTGTAGCCAGTCTGCTTGCCGGGATTGGGGTTCTGAGATCTCTGGATAAATGTCTGTGGCTCCTCCATCCTGATTCTCTCTGCATCCTTCTGGGATCAAAGCCTTTGAAAACTTTCCTATTTGTCGAATGGGGCACACAGATTGGGATGGCAACTCTTTCTCACTTTGTATTCTAGCTGGCAAAACTCAAGGCTCAGAAGTTGCTGGGCCCCAAAAAAAGAAAAGGAAGAAAACACAAAAGAAAGTCCGGGAGCAGGAAAAGAAGGCTGCTGATCCCAAGGCTGAGTACCTGCGGAAGAAGTCTCTAGGGGATCCTGGGGCTGGAAGGCCAGAGGAAGCCAAGGAGAAGGAGACTTCCAGCTCCCTGGGGGCCCGTGCAGGTGAGAGGCTCCAGGGCATGCAGGGGCAGGGCTGAGGTTGGGCTGGGATGCAAATGGCGTCCCCTCTGCTCTTGAGAAAAGGCACTGTCAGGCACACCAGATAGCACAAGATGCTCGAAGAGCAACAATTACAGTTGGGGGTGTGGGTGGACCGGATGGGAGCTGCTCGGTGGTGCCAGGCCACATGGTGACCAGGATGGCAGGGGGCAAGACCATGTCTCTGAGGACCTGAGTTGCAGGCTGCAGAAATAGGAAGAAACGAGATGGTTTGGCTTCCACCCTAGAAAGAGTTTCTCATACCACAGTGACCTACTTCGTGAGGTGGTCAGTTGCTTGCCCTGGAGAATGTTGTAGAGACCGATCCAGGTTGAAAAGGTGGAGTAGAATTTACTGGAATTGTCCTGCAGATCCATGAGTGGCACAGAGAGCCAGCAGGACAGGGAGGGCAGTGAATAGAGACTCAGGTTTAGATGCCGGGCCCTGGGGACGGAGGGGAAAGGTCAGAGAGAGGCCCCTTCAGTCCTGTCTCTGTCCCAGCAGATGGCCTGGCCACGGGGCCTGATTCTCTCTTTGCCCTGGACGTTCTGCGACAGCGACTGCACGAGAGGATCCAGGAGGCCCGGGGCCAGGTAGGTGGGGACCTCACGGAGCACTGGGGCGCGTTTGCTACAGTGCTTCCCGCTCGGGGTCTGCTCTCAGTGAGGAGCCGCAGCCTCTGTTCTCGCTTCTGCAGTAAGTCCCGCCGGGGCCTCAGCTGCTTTTTTGGGCGAGCAGGTGTAGTCCTCGCTGGGCCTTGGAGAGAAGCTCAGCTTCCCTCCTTCTGGGAAGGTGCCTTTGCTGAACGCCACGCTGGGCTGGGCACTTGCTGTGCTTCTGTTTCTCTAAGCTTCCCGGTAGTCCTGTGAGTTGGGCAGGGATGCTGAGATGAGGTGACCAGCACAGGAAGCTCCAGTGCCGAGGACTGAGCCAGCATCAGCTTTGTGTTGAATGGTGGGGTCTCCCCTCCAAGTTGGCCCCTACCTGCCTGTTCCCTGGGGCCCTTCTCGCAGGACTCTTGCTCTGTGGGGGACAGTCCCAGCTTCTCACCCTCCCAAGAGAAGCCCACCAGCCATCCCTGGGATATGATGGTTGGTTCCTCAGGTGAGCAAGGCTCTGGGCCCTCATTCCTGCAGCACAGGTCTGGTTCCATCTGCTCTGGGACTCTCTTGATGGCACAGGGACGGGAAAGACAGTTGGGGAGAGCGGAGCTTGGGCACGTGGTGAGCAGAACAAGCATAGGTCAGGACAGGCGCTCAGGTGTGCAGGCCTGACTCCAAGTTCTGGGTGGTGGCCTAGGCCCTGCCCATCTATAAGACGATGGGTGACATGTGTGAAACTACCTCTGTGAAGTGTCCCAGCACGTGGTAATTGCCGGGGAACTGGAAGCCATGATTCTTACTCGGGGGGTCCCTTGTCCTTCTCGGGTCGGGTGCATTTTGCCTAACGATTTCACTGTGCATCAGGAGGAGCTCCTCGCATACCCTGCGGCCCTGATTCCTTCTCAGCCATGTGCCAGACTGGAGGACCCCGCGGCTGGGAGAACTTTAATGTGCGAACACCCACCTTTTCCTCCAGGGCGGTACCAGGGAGCTGTCCCCCGCCACTTTGGAGAAAAGACGGCGGAGGAAGCAGGAGCGGGAGAGGAAGAAAAGGAAGCGAAAGGAGCTGCGGGCAAAGGAGAAGGCAGCCAAGGTGGAGGCGGCCGCTGAGCCCGTCGCTGTCCCAGAGGTGCCCTGCAAGGAGCCCCCGGAACCGCCAGGGCTGATCTTCAACAAGGTGAGTGGGCTCCGCGCCCTTGGGCCCCAGCTTTGGCCGTGCCAGCTGTTGGCTCAGATGAGTGACTTCTCTCTGGACCCTGGCATCTGTAAGGTGACAGTAACTGTGCCGGTCTCTGCGGTGGGTTCCTGGGAGGGCTGAGGGCATGACGTGCACGCAGCTGCCATTAACTGACGCTGCGACTCCTCCCCAGGTGGAGGTGGGCGAGGACGAGCCGGCCGGCAGGGCGCAGCGCAGGAAGGAGAAGAGGCAGAAGGTGAAGGGGAACCTCACGCCGCTGACGGGCAGGAACTACCGGCAGCTGCTGGAGCGCCTGCAGGCGCGGCAGAGCCGGCTGGACGAGCTGCGGGACCAGGACGAGGGGAAGGCGCAGGAGATGGAGGCCAAGATGAGGTGGACCAACCTGCTGTACAAGGCGGAGGGCGTGCGCATCCGCGACGACCCCCGCCTGCTGCAGGAGGCCCTGAAGCGCAAGGAGAAGCGCCGGGCGCAGCGGCAGCGCCGGTGGGAGAAGCGCTCGGCGCACGTGGTGGACAAGATGCAGCAGCGCCAGGACCGGCGGCGGCAGAACCTGCGCAAGAAGAAGGCGGCCCGGGCGGAGCGCCGCCTGCTCAAGGCCCGCAAGAAGGGCCGGATCCTGCCGCAGGACCTGGAGCGCGCAGGCCTGGCCTGAGCGCCTTCCCGCAGCAGGGCGCCTCTCCCTCCCGCGAGGCTGGCGTGTGGCGCCGTCCAGATCGCTCTGGCCCGCGGACTCCTCCACGCCGCGTGGGCGCAGTGGAGCTCAGCGCTGAGCTGGTGAGCACCCAGATCACGTACGTGAAGGGAAACGTTCCTGCCTCGTCCTTGAAGACGGCCCAGGCCCTGCAGGCCGGGGGAGGGTGGACAGGCCGGGCTCACAGGCTGCGGGAGCCGGCGGGGAAGAGGGAGCAGTGTGGAGGGTCTGGGGTGAGGCATCTCGGTGGCCGCTTCCTCCCTGCCGGGGCTCACAGGCTGCGGGACAGGAGAACGGCCTTTGCCGGCTTCCTGTGTTAATCCGGAGCACGTGGAAGGGGAACAGCCACGGGTGGGTGGGCTCGTAGCTCAGGAGAAGCTGGTTGCACGCTGGGCCGGGGCACCAAGGCCTCCTTCCGTGTCCTTTTCTGCTCCTCAGTCGCCCTGGGGCAGCATCCTCGCACTCAGAATTCACAGAACTTGAATTGTACGTCCTAAGATAACCACCATAGATAGACACAATGTCTACTAAGTCGGGAGAAGGAAAAACAATGCAGTGGGGCGAGTAGATCTCAGTCCAAAGGAGAGAAGAGAGAAAAAATAAAACCTAAAAGCTGAGACGAGTGGAAGATACAAAGTGGGGTAGTAGAACGAAATCCAAATCTATAGGCGATCAGAACGAATGCAGATTGACCAGACTCGGTAATTTTACTGGTATGTGAAAATAGTAAAGTCGTTAATAAAATGATTTTGACTCAGCTCTGCAGTTAAGAGACAAAGATTGTAACCAGAAGGCAGCCGGTGTGGCTGTGCTACTAGATAAAGTGGCCTTTGAGCTAGAAAGTACCGCTAAAGGCCGGGCGCAGTGGCTCAGGCCTGTAATCCCAGCACTCTGGGAGGCCAAGGCAGGAGGATCGCTTAAGGCCAGGAGTTTGCAACCAGCCTGAGCAAGAGCGAGGCTCTGTCTCTACAAAAAGATATTAATAGAAAAATTAGCCAGGCGTGGTGGTGGCACCTGGAGTCTGAGCTACTCAGGAGGCTGAGGCCGGAGGATCACTTGAGCCCAGGAGTTTGAGGTTGCTGTGACCTGTGATGATGCCACTGCACTCCAGCCTGGGTGACAGAGTGAGACTCCATCTCTTAAAAAGAAAAAGGACAAACTCGAAGGTAAATGGAAGAAAATAAAGCTAGGTACAGAAATGAAATTTGAAACTGCAATAAAGAGAAAATTTGATTCTCTGAAAAGTAATAAAGTTGGCAAAGCTCTAGCAAGATTGATCAAGAAAAACGTGTGAATATATATAATATTAGGTATGACAGATTTAAAAGATAAAAGAGTACTTTCACATTTTAAGACAAACGAAATGGAAAACTTTTAGAAAGACATAAATCACCAAGAAGAAATGGGTAGCCTGAGCTGCAGCAACTAATGAATTTTAATAAGAATGTTCTCACAGAGGCCCAGACAGGTTTTTGGTTGTTTTTTTTTTTTTTTGAGACGGTCTCGCTCGTGCTAGAGCCCAGTGGCATCATCGTATCTCACTGCAACCTCAAACTGGGCTCGAGCGATCCTCCTGCCTCATCCTCGGGAGGTGAGGTATCTTCGTGGTGAACCGAGGGGGCAGTAAGAGGATCTGGAACAGGCCGATGGGGAGTTAGTCTGTCCTGCAAGACGGCACAACCAAGAGGCACCACGGGAGTCGTGTCCTGCTGAGCAGAGACGATGCTGGGTGGGGGGGGTTCTGGGGGAGGTAAGAGCAGCAGTGCCCACAGTGCCAGCTGGAATCGGTGTCTGAGGCACCTGTGCTGGCTGGAGAGGGCAGGGAGCCGCAGGGTAAGGGTGAGGCTCGGCAGGGGTTGCAGCTGGCCGGGTGGAAGGGTGAACGCAGTGGCTCAACAACGACACATTTCACGCAGGCTGTGGGCCCGCTGCTCTGCTGGGTGGGAGTTGCAGCAGCACACTGCCCAGCCCTCGCTTTCCGGAAACCCACAGCCTCATAAACAGGCCACTGTCCCGCAACCCTCACGCACGCATGCCTGTATCAGGAGTTGTCACGAGACCTTCCTCCAGACTGCAGCGTTCCAGACACCCCACTCGCACGGGGACACCGCCTGGGCTGTCTCAGCCAGTAAGCTAATGCCAACTCCTGTAACAAATCCGTGTAACCCTTGTCTTCGTAAGTTTTGATTTTGAAACAGCTCACGTGGACTCCTCGTCTTTGAAAGGAGAGGACCTCGGGGTATGCCTATGGCCTGCCATAGCTTTCATGCCCTGACTTGCAATTCTCTGCTATTCCCGAATAAATGTGTTTGTTCTGGAGAGCCTGTCTCTCTGTTGCTTCTTGGGCTGACAGCGTAGGATTCAGCGCAGTGGACAAAGACCGAGGAAGGCAACTCCGAGGCAGAGGACCAGAGACGAGAGAGTATCAGGCATTTGTAACGTCCTGAAAGTTTAGTCTGCTTTTGTGACGTCTGACGAATTCTGATATGTTGTGTTTTCATTTTTATTTACTTCAAAATACTTCCGAATTTCCCTTTGATGTCTCTGAGTTATGAATTATGTAGCGGTATATTATTTAGCTTCCAAATATTTGGGAATTTTCCAGAGATCTTTCTGTTACTGATTTCTAGTTGAATTCTGTTGTGCTCAGAGAACATACTTTGTATGACTTGAATCCTTTCGAAGTTGCTGAGGCTCCCTTCCCCCAAGAAAGACCGAGGCCCAACCGCAGGGCCGGGTGCAGGACCCCGAACTCGCGTTTGTTCTCGGCCATTAGCATTTTGAGCACCGTCTCCACCATCGCCCAGGCAACGCCAGTTCTCAGCAGCCTCACCTCTACTTTGCCTTCATTTTTGAAATATATTTTACCTGGTTGTTTAATTTTGGGTGAAAGTCTTTTCTTTTCTACAATACTTTTAAGTTGTGCTTCGCTGTCCCCTCGCTTGCATTGCTTCCAGTGACAAATCTGCTGTCATCCTTGTTCCTGTGCACGTTAACGTGTCTTTTTCATTTCCGAGTTTCATACTGGGTAGTTTCCATGGCTGTGACTTCTGGTTCACCAATTTTTTCTTCAGTAGTGTCTAATCTGCCTTAATTTCATCCAGTGTATTTTTCATCTCTAAAAGTTCCATTTGAGTCTTTTAACATATCTTATTTCTTAACTGTAACATGCTTATGCTTTCATCAACCTTCCTGAACATTATTCAATATAGTTATATGACTATTTTACTGTACCCATCTCATGATTTTTTCGTCTGTGTGATTTCCAAGTTTGTTTCCATTAATTGATTTTTATGCACATTATGAGTCTTATTTTTCTGCTGCTTTTTCACCTGGTAATTTAGAATTGGATGCCAGACATTACGAATCTTATTTTGTTGGGTGCTGGATATTTTTATATTTCTTTAAATATTCTTGTTCTGGGTGCAATTAAGTTCTTTGGCAACGGTTTGATTCTTTCAAGCCTTGCTCTTCCACTTCGCTGAGCAGGGCCAGAGTGACACAGGAAAGTGACTCCCAATGCTGGGAGCCACTTGAAGTCCAAGTGGGGCCGTGGCTTCACGCAAGAAAGAATTTAGGAGTGAGCCGACAGTATAAAGCGAAGGCAAGATTCAGAAACTACAGAAAGTTTGCTGTACAGAGCAGAGGCAAGTCCTCCCCACAGAAGAGAACTGGCCCTGGTTCCTGTCCCCTTTCTGTTTCAGCAAGGGCTTGCTTACAGGCGAAACAAGGCGAGGAATATTCACGGCGGGTGGTGTTCCGCCACCATCTTGGTTCTCGCCGGTTGGAACGTGCCCTGCCGCCACCTGTTTTGCTCAGGGTAATTTGAAACTTTAGTGGCTTCCTGACTGAGGGATGCTGCAGCAACGCCCACAGCAGTACCCGACAATTCCTTGCCTCAAGAGCAGCTATCCTAAGGCTAATGGGCGCCACTCCTGAGGTGACACCCTTCTTTCTGATGACCCATCTGTTGTGAGATTTTTCTAGGCCCGCTGATGGGAGCTATTTCCAGCTTTCTGGAAGCTCTGGGGTGGTTCTGCCTGCTCCTCCCTGGTGGGTCCCTAGCCTTGGGTGTTTTTCTCACGTGCTGGAGTGACCGGTACTCTGCGGAGACTTGAGAGGAAATGGGCAGGGCCTCCCTCCACCCCCGCGACGCTCTCTCCCGTCTGGCTCTCTGTTCTGCAAAATCAACATCTTACCGTCTTCGCAACTCAGCGCGACAGGCTCCTGTGAAAACTCTGCCCAGACGGAGGTGGGACAGTCACAAGGCCGACCTTGTCTGCCAGCTCCCCGGGACCAGGATCGCTCTCCCGTGTGAAAATCCTCGTTTCACACGTTTCGGTGGTTTCGGCTGTTTAAAGGAGGACGGTAAGCCCGTCCCGAACGGAAGGAAGTCTCACAACTCGCAGATACTACTTCGTTTACGAAATTGGCGAATTTTATCTCACTTAGGATCACTTTTACTTTTTCTTTAATGTTTAACTCAATCGTACATTTAACATCTTAACACCAAGTATACATATTTAATTAGTACTGAAATATCCGATTCCTTCATATACATAAAACACCAGAGAGGCGTTTCTTGTCAGTACTTCAGAATAAGTACACTTTCAAGGAAACAGCACATATTTTTTTCTTTCTTTACTTGTTTTTTAATTTTTTCCTTGCCAACAGGTAATGTGCCTGGAACACATATTTTCGACGTTTTTTTAATTGTCGTCAAATTCACCATTTTAACCACTTTACGGTGCACAATTCAGCGACTTTCAGCGCATTCACAACGTGGTGCGAGCGTCTCCGCCATCCATTCCGGAAATTTCCTCACTCCAAAGAGAAACCCTGCGCCATTTAGCAGTCGCTCCCTCTTCTCCCCGCCCAGGCCCCTGCACAGCGACCCTGGTTTCCCCTGAGTGGATTTGCCGGTTCTGGGCCGCGCATGGCGTCCCGCACGTGTGCCCTTCGCGTCCGGCCTCTCCCCTGACCGTGATGGTGACAAGGCTCACCCGCGTCCCAGCCTGTGTTGGAGCTTCACTCCTCGTGGCCGGTAACGTTCCACTGCGTGACCATGCCGCCTTTGCCCGTCCGTTCCTGGGTGACGGACGTTTGAGTTGTTCCCATTTTCGCCACCGTGAATGACGCCGTTGAGAACATGCGTGTAAAAGTCTTGTTTGAACTGTTCTCAGTTCTCTTGGGTAGACCTCTGGGAGTGAGATTGCTGATATGGTAATTCTATGTTTAACTTTCTGAGGAACCACCAAAATGTTTTCATTTTTCTTAGCATTTTTGATTTTTTAAACTATGTGTATTTTCTTGGGGGGGGGACAGTCTCACTCCGTCGCCTGGGTAGAGTGCCGTGCGTCATCCTAGCTCACTGCAGCCTCAGCCTAGCTCACTGCAGCCTCAGACTCCTGGGCTCAAGCGATCCTCCCGCCTCCGCCTCCCACAGTGCTAGGGCTACAGGCATGAGCCACCCCAAGCCCAGCCTGCATTTCTTTTATTTAAAAAGTAAACAAATAAATGGTGGAATAAGGAAGTGCAGAAATGCTGGCTGTACAAGAGCTTTGGCCAGCCAAGCTGGAAAACGAAGGTGACGGGCCTGCCAAGGCAGCTTTCAGGCTCCGGCTAGCGTGTCATGGTCGGCCACTCTTGGGTCTCACTTCCTCCTTGAACCTTCAGGACAG